CCTTTAAAACTTATAAATTATTTTAAAAATTATTTATTATTTATTTTTGTAAGGGTGTCAAACTAAAGGTAATAGCTGGAGGAAGTTGTCTGACACACTAGTTTTCAAAATAAAAGCCCCCAGTAGCATCTGGGAATGTTTAAAAGCAGAAAGTGCACACTTTTGCCCATCAGTGGAACAAAGAATGTTAAGGGGTTAGAGTTTTATGGCAGCAACACATTTAAAAACAATAAAAGAGGAGTGTAAAACAAAAATCTGTCCGCTAACTCAAAAAAAGTAGTTTTCTAACATAGTTTTATGAAATCAAGCAAATCTTTGCATTCTGCTTTTTGTTTACATTTTACACACAACTGAACTTTATCTAAACTGGAGAAGTTTGTTGCTGTTTTTATGGATAAATAATGGTTTGTCAGCTACTTTCACACCATGATTCAGATACAGTATCTATCAAAGTGATGTCACATCATCCTCACAGGACAGCAGAAAGCACACAGACACGACGCCATGCACAGAAACAACAGCTGATTGATTATTAACAGGAGGCAGAAATGCAGAAAAGTTTCTGTTTTCACCTCAAACTCCTGCTGGAAGCCCCGAGAGCTGTGAAGCTCAGCAACATGTTGGACAAAGTCTGTCAGTGGTCGAGCTGATTGGTCATCTGGAAATGTCAAACATGCCGTTAATAACAGTCAGATGCATTTGTTCTTGTCAAACACATCAGATGTTTTGTGTGTTTTATTTTGAACAAAACAAACTCTAATGCTAGTAAGATTAAAATAAATAAACTTCAATAAAATCAGGACTTTGTTCAGAAGGTTTTGGGGAAAGGAAAAGAAAAAAGAAGAAGGAAAAAAATGTATTTTCATATTTTTTACCAAATGACAGCGTGGAGGTGGGCGGAGCCACGATAACTCTGGAAGATGAGATGCCGTCGATGTAGAAGTGAGCCGTCTGGAAACACAACCTGCGCTCAAATGAATTAAAGCAGATTTTACTTCACTTTTTCATTTTGTCTGTTAATACATAAAGAATGTTTACACACAGTTATAAAATGCCAAGTTTCTCTGACGGTGAAAAAATTAACTCAAAACTTTTCTGACAAATATTTTAAACAACTCAACTGAAAACAAAAACAGTTGTGGGAAAGATATCAAACGATAAAAAGATATAATAAGCTGGTCGAGTGTTCACCTCACACTAATAAATAATCGAAGCCCTTTGATTTAATTTCAGCTTTAAATCTCAGGAACACACCTGCTTTCAATTAATGCGCCCCTGAAATCACTTTTAGTGGGAGTTTCCTAATTTTTCTTTCAAAGGAAGCCATATCTGAGCCTAAATGTTTTTCTTTCTAAGATTTGTAGATGTTGTTTTATCTCTTCAGAACGTGGAGGAACATTAGTTCCTGTGTTCCATCTATTGCTGAGAAATGCTGTGTAACCTTTGTTAGACTCCTTGGATCTGAGTAACTGTGAGGAAGCTCCCACTAAAACTGATTACAGGACGATCAGAGGCATATTCATTGAAAGCAGGTGTTTCAAATCACTCTCACTATGACTGGTTCAGATTTTTTACTATCAGCAGCTAATTAAATGAGTTTTAACTAATTCTAAAATTTCATCAGGACTCCAGCTCTCCTCAACTGACCAGGTTCTGAATATAAACCTTAATATATAATGGTTGCCCCGACCCCAACCCTGGCAATGAAACACTTTCATTCATAGTCATCTCCTTCCACAGAACGCTATATTTTAAATCCAGTTAAAAAACATAATTAAAACAGTAAAATAACTATTTCACAAATATTGAAACCAATCCATCAAACACCAGCAAGCCTCAAAACCATCACCCAACCTTGGCCCTCCACCACAACATAGACTTAAATATAAAGATCACTAGACTGAGTCCTGCCCATCCTGTCCACTGGTAGTATCTGTGACAGCATGGAGGAGCAGAAACAGACCAAACAGGACAACAGCTCACAGCCTCCATAGAAACTAATAGATAAACAGCAGCTGAACCAGATCTGTTTCACAGATTATTGGTCATGTTTTTACAATAAATTAATAATTACAGTGGTTTGCAAAAGTATTCATACCCCTTGAAC